AGGAAAAATAATTATTGCATTAAATCCCCGCCTATTTTAGATTCATTGATTGGCACGGATTGACCCTGTAGCAGAGCTTTCAAATATGAGTCCGTGCGATACAGCAAAATGTTGCCCATACTTTAATAAGCTGTAGGTGCATTATAAGAGTGAAAATCAATCCCTCAACGTGCGTGAATGGTTGAGTGCTACTGAGTAGCTGCCTTCCCTCTGGACAGTCATTTAAAACCAGGGACGGCGGCAAGTAGCCTCAGTAGTTGCCTTCCCGCTGGACAGTCATTTAAAACTAGGGACGGTGGCAAGTAGCCTCAGTAGCTGCCTTCCGTCTGGACAGTCATTTAAAACTAGGGACGGTGGCACCACTACTGTCTTGGTTTTTAAGGTGATGGTGTGATGGTCAGTCAAAGTTTTCTCTGGACCATTACTGTCTTATTTATTTAAGGTGGATGATGTGATGGTCAGTCAAAGTTTTCTCCGGACCATTACTGTCTTGGTTATTTAAGGTGGGTGACGTTATGACCAGCCAAAGTTTTCTCCGGACCACTACTGTCTTGGTTTTTAAGGTGATGGTGTGATGGTCAGTCAAAGTTTTCTCTGGACCATTACTGTCTTATTTATTTAAGGTGGATGATGTGATGGTCAGCCAAAGTTTTCTCTGGATCACTACTGTCTTGGTTTTTACATGGATGATGTGATGGTCAGCCAAAGTTTTTTCTGGACCACAACTGTCTTAGTTTTTAAGGTGGGTGACGTTATGACCAGCCAAAGTTTTCTCCAGACCACTACTCTCTTGGTTTTTAAGGTGGATGACGTTATGACCAGCCAAAGTTTTCTCCAGACCACTACTGTCTTAGTTATTTAAGGTGAATGACGTTATAGTCATGGTACTGAGGTCTTCTTGACAGGTCCTCGCTTACAAACTTTTTGCACGCTAAGTATCAAAAGATGTAAATTTGTATTTTGTTGAATTTGTATTTATAGCAAAGCTACTGAGGCTACTTGCCACCATCCCTAGTTTTAAATGACTGTCCAGAGGGAAGGCAGCTACTGAGGCTACTTGCCACCGTCCCTAGTTTTAAATGACTGTCCAGAGGGAAGGCAGCTGCTGAGGCTACTTCCGGAGAAAACTTTGACTGACCATCACATCATCCATGTAAAAACTAAGACAGTTGTGGTCCAGAAAAAACTTTGGCTGACTATCGCGTCATACACCATATAAACGTTTCCCACAACATTGTTTGGTATTTGAAGGAAACCATGACTCTTCATATAACAGTGTCTCAGAGTCGAGTACCCTAACCACCTGGCCACGTTATGATACTGATCGCCCTATATTATAAAGTGACTGTCAATCCCACTATTGGATTAGAGTAACCCAAGAGTTGGCGGTCCATGGCGTTGAGTAAGTGCGTGAAATTGAACAAATACCTTTATTATTGTTTAGAACAAAGAACAAACTTATTAATAAAACATTGAGTTATACTGGGTAAAATATTGTGGAGGTAAGTACAACAAAAGAAATGAATAAAATCATTATAAAAACATAAGTTAAAGAAACTGGTTGTAAATAAAGAAACGAGTAACATATACATACTAGTTCAAACCATAAGAATCACCAGGAAACAAAAGTTAATGACGTAACGTGGTACGCACGTGAATACCTGAATTTTCTGACGCTAATGACGTTTTTTGCTCTTCTACACAAAGTTGACGTTTTCTGAGTACATACAACTAAACAATCTTTATTTATAGAATTTTCTGAAGCTAATAATACTGATAAAAAAAAGCGCAATTTCTTTCCAAAATCGAACTTTAAGAGATCAACTTAATGTCTAGACAGATACAGAACTATATGGAGATAAAAAACACATAAATAAATACATATAGAGTGAAGTCATTCACTCATTTCTTTATCAGTGGGTGTGACAAATTGTGTAACAATAAATTTTAGGTTGATTATTCTTGGCTCAGGGCCCAGAATCTCGTTTTGTTTTCTGTTGATATGAACATCAATCACCATAAGTCGCTCTTTCCAGAAACTTCTCGTGCTAGATCCGATGAGAAACCTGTCATGTTACCAAGGTTATTACGGACCCACCCCGGTTGTGCTTTAAATATCATTACTGGTCTATGTAAAGTGACATAACAACGGGAAGGCTGCTCTTTTATAAATCTTGTTCAAATATTTTATCTAAATAATATCATTATTATTTGCGAGTCCGTCTACTTTATTTAACATTTGATATGGGTAGCCTCAAAACGTGTTGTTTGTTTTGTTGTAACACATACAAACTTGTTAAAAAAGTTGTTTCGTTGAACCATCTTGTTCGAAATTTTCAGCACATTTTTTGTTTTTAATTGAAACTAAGGGTTTTTCAACAAGTTATTATAGAATAAAGATATTTAGTCTGAAAACAACAACTACAAAAAAATCACGGTTTTGTATTAAATCGATCCTACCCTTCTTAGCGACAACCATCCGCCCAACTTTACTTTTACTTTTTTCTATACGTGAGTTAAAGCAATCATCAAATCTTCCAGTCTCTTTAGCAATATCATCTCGGTTTAAAATAGTGGAAAACGAAGATTTGTCAGAATGGTGGGCATTAGAAGGACATTCCACGCGCATTGACGCCCACAACGCATGTCCGCGTCAAACACTGCGTGTGCGTAGTGTCAGAAACCTTGCATTTACGCGAGCAATCAAGGAGCTTGTAACGACTATGTGTTATGCATCCTCGTTTTAATAAGTCATCGCGTTAGCGTGCGACTTAAAAAATGCGCGTGGATTATGTGTTCGAAACTGTTTGTAAGCATCTCGAGAGTATAGTATGCTTCAGGAAAAAGGAGGTAAAATTTGAGGGTTGAACCAACATTGCTGTCTCAAAAATCTGAGGGTTGCACCAACATTGCTGTCTCAAAAATCTGATGGTTGCACCAACACTGCTGTCTCAAAAATCTGAGGGTTGCACCAACATTGCTGTCTCAAAATACTGAGGGTTGATCCAACATTGCCGTCTCAAAAATCTGAGGGTTGAACCAACATTGCCGTTTCAAAAATCTGAGGGTTGCACCAACATTGCTGTCTCAAAAATCTGAGGGTTGCAACCAACACTGCTGTCTCAAAAATCTGAGGGTTACACCAACACTGCTGTCTCAAAAAACTGAAAGTTGCACCAACACTGCTGTCTCAGCTATGTAGATATTAGTCGGCATGCCACAAATGCACAATTGTTATATTCATTCGATTACAACGACATAAGGGCTTGTAATACTTGACCCTCCCTCCTCCTCACTTTGGGTGCAAAATAGATCTCTCGACTTATGTATCTCAGCTTATTTTTTGTAAATGGAAGACATGCTGAAAGAGAAGTATAACATTTCTACCCAAAACTTATTTTATCTTTCACTAGTTATACTGTTACATAGTTGTTAATCTCTTAGCATTGTAAATAATATCAAACTTATTTTATCTTCCACTAGTTATACTGTTACATAGTTGTTAATCTCTTAGCATTGTTATTAATCTCAAAACTTATTTCATCTTCCACTAGTTATACTGTTACATAGTTGTTAATCTCTTATCATTGTTATTAATCTCAAACTTCTGATTATCTTCCACTAGTTATACTGCTACATAGTTGTTAATCTCTTAGCATTGTAAATAATATCAAACTTATTTCATCTTCCACTAGTTATACTGCTACATAGTTGTTAATCTTTTAGCATTGTTATTAATCTCAAGACGTATTTCATCTTCCACTAGTTATACTGTACATAGTTGTTAATCTCTTAGCATTGTTATTAATCTCAAAACTTATTTCATCTTCCACTAGTTATACTGCTACATAGTTGTTAATCTCGTATCATTGTTATTAATCTCAAAACTTATTTTATCTTCCACTAGTTATACTGCTACATAGTTGTTAATCTCGTATCATTGTTATTAATCTCAAAACT